AGAGAGAGAGAGAGAGAGAGAGAGAGAGAGAGAGAGAGAGAGAGAGAGAGAGAGAGATGCAAACGTCGCGTATGCACTTAATCTGCAATTCGCAGATCGGAATCGATCGGCACACGGTGCATCTTCCAGACGTTGGTATTCCGCGCTGACAAAACCTGACAGAACGATGGAGGACCTTTCGAGTGAATGCGTTCCGCGGACGGAGTGCGTTTTTGTGCTAATCGATTGCGAATTTCGTCTGGGAAAGAGGCCATGTGTGTGCCGAGTGAGGAAGAAATTGGTTATGGGTGGAAAAGGCATACCGTAATCACCCTCTCGGTAAAAGAGCGATCCTCGGCATACTGCTCGAGGGAAAAATGCAGTCTGTGACGAGAATCTTGTTTGTTTGGAATACATCGAAGAATATTTTGCAAGTTTAAAACGCGACATATCTCTGAGGAGAAGGAACTGTTAAACATGCTGCAAACAAAACGACGTGAGCTTGCAGATTGTCATATAAAATTAAAATTACACTCGTTTAAGTGTAAATACTTACGCCACCTTGAGAATTTTAATCGATTTTCCGAGTCAAATTTGGGTTCTGCATTCTATCTAATCTTGCAGATATTATGGAACTTAAAGTATCAGTGAAGTATCTCGAAACACAACATCGCAGAAGTGTATCGTCCTTTGATGCTAAAAATGGTCATCGCTGTTTGTTGTTGAGGTTTAACGAAAGCTTGACTTAAGAATTATTCAAGATTTGATCATCTCAATAATACATTTAATTATATTTGATCTCTTTTTATTCTTTGTTTGAATAAAAAATATATTAATTATATAATAATTATATAATAATTTATATAAATAAGATCCTTGAGGGTAATATGACCTTGCTAAGATTTGAAAAATTCTCCAGGTACTATCTTATCGAATTTTCAAAATCCGCTTGCGCCACAGTTTACTTTGATCCTTTGATAATTAAGAAAAAATAATGAAAGAATGCATTTAATTCAAACCATAAGAAAATAATTCATTTTCAAAAAACGGCATTTTGGTCATATTAAAAGTATATGAAGATAATATGGCCACCTTTCCCTATCTCTTTAAAATTGAATTTTTTAATCATTAATCATAATTAATGCAATTTGTAATGGAAGTAATAAAAGATTATAACAAAAAGAACAATATTTATTTAAAAAACTTATATTTATTTAAAACACAAATTACAAAAAAAAATACTTTTTTGCTCGCAGTATTGACAGACAACTATGTATTAAGGAATTATTCAATTAATATATTATAGATTAATAAACATGAGAACACTAACAAGCTTGCCAGAGCGCAGCAAGAAGCGTCTTTCGTAAAAAACATAACCTCCATAGAATGAGAGTTGCACGCAATATTTTAGAACGGCAATTGTATCAAGTGTTCTAAAAAGATGTAAAGAAGAACACACTAGTCTGATTTAAATTTTTCCGTGCAAATTATTTTACAGCTAATTGGCCATATTACCCTCAGGGATTTATATATATATAAATTATATAATTATACAATAATTTATTCAACTACAGATAGAATACGTACGATAAGCAGATATTAAATCTAGCAATAAACATAGAGAAAATATTGTAATTAAAGTTACGTTGAAATTATATTTCTTTTTACAATATTTTTCGTAAAATTGGACTATATTTTGAAATTGTAGTATAAAATTATTAAATAATAAATTAAAATAGTAAATTAAATAATAAATTTGAGAGAGTCGATCTACCTGATATGTAATATAAAAAACATTAATGATGTTATACGATAAAAATAACAAA